TACAGCTAAAATAATTAGCTATAACAGCTATTTAACGGGGCAATGGATTTTAAACACATAGCTGTGAAATTTTATAATTTATATCAGAGCAGTATTTGTGGTTTAAAAAATTTGAGAGTTTTTTAATGATTTTTGAAATAATCAGAATGAGAATATAACTGATACTAACAAATAGCGATGCACAGTAGCTTACAACTAAATGTTTTACTATAGAAAGCAACAAAATGGCAGCATTTTTCATTTCAAACTGAATAAAATGAATTGATTAACTAAAAAGAATCAAATTTTTCCTACTACACAAGTTAGAACATTTTAGGAAGATATACTTAATTGTGTTTTGTAAAGATGTGTTTATAATACGATGTAGTACTGATGTAGCATTTAGCACTACACTGCTTGGTACATATACTGTTAGTAGACTGGTCTGAAGTTAGCCAAAGTACTGTCACGCTACTAAAAAAGTATACAGAGCATTGCTACCTTTGGTTGGTTACTTCCCAGCACTACTACTGCATCTATGCATGAGTGTGTGTGAGACTTCATATTCAGGCTTGTTGAGGTTTTCGCCTCATGCTAGCAGTTTGAGATGCTATTTGCTAGCTGTGTCATCTCTTCATTAAGTGCAGAGGGAAATGTTATTCTCTATGAAGTTAATTCCTCAACAAAAATTCTTCTTTTGTGAATAATTGATCAAAAACCTGAGTCTCAGCTAACAGTTCTGAAAAGTTTTAACTACTGTATGTAAGGCAGAGTTCGCCAAGCAAAAGTAAGATGTTTGGAAAACAGACAGTAACATAGAAACTTCTACAATATGTAATTTGGTGTGTTTTTTTCTTTCAGGTAATCATGTGATATGACACCTATATAAATAAAAGAGTACACTTTGAATGTACTTGTTAAGTTGTACTATAGTAATGGAGGTAAAATATCTTCATTACTCTAGTACTTTACCTTCAAAAACCTGTCTTTACCTGTCTTGCCAAGGTCATCCAAACTCTCAAGAATTGTATGAACAGGCATCAACGAGTACCTTTGATAAAATATGATTCTGAAAGTGGATAATGACAAATCAACCTAGATATAATCCATTTTAAAAGCTTCTATCTGGTTTTCAACTCCTCAACAGGATGAATTTCCTGACCGATTTGATTTGAGTTCCCCGCTATGTTTTATTTTTGAAGGAAAGTAGGTAATGAACTCTTCCCGTACATGTGCAGCCACTTTGTCGGATTAGCACAATGTCCTGTGGGTGTTTCCACGGCCTCTGGAGAACATAATGATGTTAATACTTTATTTAAAGAGCTTTCTTTTCTCTGCTTCTCTCCTTGGCGCTCCCCTTTCCTTCTTCTTCTGTGTGGGAGGGATGCAGAGCGAACAGCTGTGTAGAGACTCGCCATGTGGCATTTCCTTGAGAGATGATTTTCCCAAAAAGACTTAAAGGGAATTACGAGGAGATTAACGCCTTCTCGGGCAACATCAACAAACATTTGTTTGTTAGGGCAGCTGCCAACATCATTGCGTTTCTTGGCAATTAGCAGCACCATTTTGTGGGTAGTTAATTTCACACCCAATGGTATGAGTTTGAGGAAGGGACTTCCTGTTTGACCAAACAACGGAGGACAGCGATATCATCAACACACTCTTATTTTGTCTTAGTTTTTTGTATAAGTTTTGCCTTAACTACAAAGCTTATTGTGAATAATGGATGGCAGATGTGCTACAACACATCAACAGAAAATAGTAACTGAAAGATTGAGTTTGAGATTAATCTGAGCACTAGTGTCCACTAGGGGTGGGTGATATACCGGTAGACATGATTAACTGGTAGAAATTTAACAACCGGTAGAGATTTTGGACTATCATCTCTACGGCGGTTACACAGTCACATTTCTGTGCTATATGTTCTCAAAAATGTATAGTTTGCATGCATTTTTAAGCATTGCGGATTAAAAACAAGTCATTTTAAGCCATTGAAACACAATCAGCAGCAAAAGAGAACTAATTTCACAAAATGCATGCACTGTCTGAGAGACTGTTTCTGAGTGCTGTCAAAAGAGGTGTGCGCACCTGAAGACGGTGATCATAGAGAATCTATGGAGTATTGAATGGAGTTACTTTTGCCACTTTATTGGCCTTGAACGGTTAAATACACACACTTGTATGTGTCAGAAGGCCAGTATCGGCAAGTATACTTGTTGTGACGATTTTCATATGAGGTGCCAGCCTGGTAGCTACTCCAGACAATTTCTAATAATTTAAAACAAACCGTCCCAAAGGAATCTAATACATTTTTTTATCCATTTATAGGACCCCTATCACATCCTGTTTATTTTGCTGTGTTATGTTATCAATTCAAATGACCCTTCATCAACCAGCCAAGCAGGTGAAACAACATATATTCACATTTTCTTGAAATACATCACAAATTCATAATGCCTTCTGAGTGCAATAGTACAATAAATTCAAACATATCATAAGTACAACCATTCCAAACATATCAGAAAAACAGACACAAAAATACAACTCCACTGAAATGTGATTCATATGCAAATTCATAACTCCCAGTCTATTCAAAATGCATGTAGCAATGTGTTTTGCACTCATGTATTGTTCATACCTTGAATCTGCAAATAGGGTTAGAAATGTCCGCTGAACTTACATCGTTCATAGCGTGAATCACCAAACGCGTTACGAAATGTCCGTTGAGCATAGGTAGTTCGAAACAGTATCCAAATCCAAATAAAGAAAACAAAACCCACCCCTAAACACAAACAAGAGAAGTACAATTAGCACAAGAATAACTATCAACGTTTTTCTTTTAGAATAAACAACAACAAAAAAGGAGAGTTGCACTTACACTTTCCCTAGCATGCTTGGCTTATCATCAATCTCCATTTTAAATCATGTTAATGGCATAATTTCTCTCCAAACACATCATCAGCGGGAGAATCAAACACTCCCAACACGACTTCAGCGGCAGACGCGAATCACTCCAAACACAGCATCAGCGGGAGAACCAAGCACTCCAAAAACTTCAACAGTAGATTCATGCAAATTCATAACTCCCAGTCTATTCAAAATGCATGTAGCAATGTATTTTGCACTCATGTATTGTTCATACATTGAATCTGCAAATAGGGTTAGAAATGTCCGCTGAACTTACATCGTTCATAGCGTGAATCACCAAACGCGTTACGAAATGTCTGTTGAGCATAGGTAGTTCGAAACAGTATCCAAATCCAAATAAAGAAAACAAAACCCACCCCTAAACACAAACAAGTGAAGTACAATTAGCACAAGAATAACTATCAACGTTTTTCTTTTAGAATAAACAACAACAAAAAAGGAGAGTTGCACTTACACTTTCCCTAGCATGCTTGGCTTATCATCAATCTCCATTTTAAATCATGTTAATGGCATAATTTCTCTCCAAACACATCATCAGCGGGAGAATCAAACACTCCCAACACGACTTCAGCGGCAGACGCGAATCACTCCAAACACAGCATCAGCGGGAGAACCAAGCACTCCAAAAACTTCAACAGTAGATTCAGCGGGAGATTCAAACACTCATAGTTCGGCTTCAGCATCGAACTACCATGTGAAACGCTACTGTGTCTCATGACACTGGACATTTTTTTTCCCGCTCTAACAACGAAGTCACATCCCGATAAGGAATATTTAAAGGGGAAGACATCTTTTATTAGCAGAGTTCATCACATGAAATTCGCTACATTGTAAACACAGTAATTTTGGTCTTAAGTGAAAGCAAACAGCTGAGAAAGAAAACACATGTGAAACAGTATGTTGAATCCGGGCAGCTCCTAAAGTGACAACAGTCTAATATTCCTGCTCTCTGTCATTTATGTTAATCAAACAACAAAATAGAAAAAAAAAAATCTCTCACTGCTCTTGACTAAATCACTTTTGTAACTTTAATAATAAGAAATATGTATTTAATTCACACACAGTGAAGAATATGCAGTGTTTTTATACATTTGATTACTTTATACAATGTTTGTATCATTCCTTATTTTTGATCTTCTGTGTTCTACTGTAGTTTTTAGACAGTTAAATTGGAGAAATGCTAATTAAATGTCACTGTTTCGGTCAGTGATTTCTGCCCTCCAAATTATGGCATATTATTAACTTAACATACTGTTTTTCACCTACTATATAGTAAGGAAGTATGCATAATTGAGTGCAGGGCCTGTTTCTTTTTAACATAGCCAGCAGACCAACAAAATCATTATATGCTACTTGCTACTTGATAATGCTACCTATTGTACTGTAGCAGCAGGTGACGGAGGGATGTTCTCACTCTAGACAGCATTTGATTGGTTGAATATTTGGTTACGTCCCCAAGTGCAAGATGATCCACTTCATCATTAATATTTGTATTTTTTCCCAAGACAATGACTTCTGTCAACTTTTAGCTGTACGTTAGCACATATAGATGTCATTGAAGCTAACAGACACAGTCTAAAATATACAAAACTCCAATTAGATCTCTTCAAGTCGTCAAGGTAGATCTACCTATCTGTTTGGCCACTTCACAGCTCTCAGTCCATCCTCCATCCTAAGGTTAACCCTCCCCAATTTCTCCCAATTCTAATGAGGTATTATTAGCTGATTAGAGAGGACCCTCGTGAAAAAGATGAAAGCTAGAGTGAGCGAGTCGGAGAGAGCAAGCTGGATAGAGGGAGGGAGGTAAAAAAAGATCAACTCACTGCTAGTTGTGCTGTGGAAGCAGTGGGATAAAGCTTCACAGTGAGAGAGAGGCAAACTGGGATATATTTCTATTTCTTTCCCCCCTCTGTTCCCATTTCTTGGCTTGTTGCAAAGAAGCAAGAAAAAAATCAAACGAAAACAGACGTAAATTTAGCATCCTAGCAGCCAGAGCGTCTCCTCTACGCGCTCGTTCAGAAGACTCTCCGTGTCTAATGTGACACATTGGGGTGGAATCGTGGGACATTCAGTCACGCAGAGCTAAGGGAAGGATGGATAGAGTGAACCGGGTTTTAAACATCGTAAGACAGATGTCTCCCAGGAAAAGGGAAAGAGTGTCTCATTGGGAGGCGGAGAGCCCGGAGACCTGCGAGGAGAGTCTGTGCTCTCTCAGCCTTTGCATCAGCGGTAAGACCACCCCTGGCAAACTTTCTCTCTCGCTCTGTCTCTCTCTCCGTCTCCCCCTCCTCCCACTCTAATCCTTTTTTCATTACTGCTTTGTGGGTTTGATATTAACTTTGACCTGTGGTGTTCGCCACATACACTGAGGAGAAAAAAATGCTCTCTCTCTCTTCTTTCCATCAGTGTGGCTTCAATTATCACCTTCTTTCCTCCGAGGGGAAGAGCGATTGAATTAATGGTGAAACTCTTGAACTTAATGTGGAGGACGCGGTTTCTCGATCCTAATGTTGTTCCTGAAGAATTGATTTTGTATTAGGCTTTTAAATATTTGATGAAATGGATGTTTCCGTGAGACGCAATCATAATTTTCGACTTTCATTTATCGGCTCAACTCATCATCGTTCATTCTACAGCTTTGATTTGGTAGGGTCTTCAGAGATCAGTGAAGCTTCACCGATATTAATTGAGTAAAGATCATAACTCTTCATTAAGTTATGACTAGCATGAGTAATGGCTGTTTTTACAGGAGGACTGACCGGTGCATTATTATCTACAGGAATTTTGAAGACACTTAAGTTTGTACGGTTGATTTTGTGTTAGAAATTGATTGGAGAACTGAATCTTTCCTTCTACATCACCTTTCATCTCATGTGATGAAAGTTTCAATTGGGTTTCAATTCCTAGACATGATTGTAGCATCTCTCCTGTTGCTGTTGTTTTTTTATGTTAATTTTAAAAAATTGAACATCTGGTTGAAAGCATTTTTCTCCCAAAAATGAAGATTCCATCATTTACTCATGCTGTTTCAACACCTGTATGACTTACCTTTTTTTCTGTAGAACATAAATGTGGATATTTTGAAAAGTATTTTTTTCTTCTTTGTGCATACAATGAAAGTGGGGTCCACTCAATGTTGTTTTGGACCCCACTGACTTTCATTACATAGACAAAAAGAGCCAAACAAATATCTTCTTATGCGTTACACAGGAGAAAGAAAGTCACACAGGTTTAGAACGACATGAGGGTGATTAAATGATGATGGAAATTTTATTTTTAGGTGAACAATCCCTTTAACTAGGACTACCGAAGGTTTGCAAATAAAATGTATATGGGAATTTACTAAGAATGAATGCATTTGCATGTTTTTGTCTGTTGTATTAACACCCTATTCATTAAAATAATTTTAAAATTATACAAAAAATTATATATTATTTAGTTATAAGGTAACAGCAAACAATTCACCCACAAAAAAGGTCAGAATTGAGATATAAATAGAGAATTACATGATGTAAAGTCAGAAAATTCATATTTGCAAGAAAAAGTCAGAATTGTGAGAAAAAAGTCAGAATTTGGAGATATAAGCTCAGATTTACTAGATATATACTCAGAATTTTGCAAGATATAAACTCAGAATTGTGAGAAAAAAGTCAGATGTAAGTTCAGAATTGTGAGAAAAAAAAAGAGTCAGAATTGTGAGATATAAACTCAGAACTGTGAGACATAAACTCATAATTACGAAATGTAAACTCAGAATTATGGGAAAGTAGAATGGCATGATGTAAACTCAAAATTAAATGAAAACAGTCAGAATTGTGAAATATAAACTCAGAATTACGAGATATGTACTCAAAATTACGAGAAAGTAGAATTGCGAAATGTAAACTCAGAATTGCATGAAAAAAGTAAATATTGCAAAATGTAAAATCTTGCGAGAAAAAGAGTCAGAATTGCTAGCTAAACTCAGAATTGTGAGAAAATCTGAATTGCGCAATAACTCAGAATTCAGTTTTTTTTTCTCACAATATTTATCTTGCAATTCAGATTTATCTATTTTTTTCAGAATTATAAGAAACACAGTCTGAATTGTAAAATAAAAAGTTGCAGTTACCTTTGTATTTTTTTATTTTTTTATTTTGTGGCAGAAATGGGCCTCCATACTTTTGTGTATAAAGCACAGTCTATTATAGGCATAATTATAGGCCCATTAAAAAGAAATTGTTTGCATCTATTTTTGTTTTTAACTCTTGTTGCATATTCCAGCTCAATCCCCAAAATTTCAAATGCTCCAGATAATGCAATCTCTCTTGCGTTTCTTCAGACAACATCAGATCTGTTACATCTCGCGCAGTTTTTAAATATTTAATCTTCCATTCACTCTAGGAAGATTACATTGTTTTACATGTGATATATTATTTAAAACCTGGCGGAGTATACTCTCAGACCTTGTTGCATATTCCAGCTCAATCCCCAAAATTTCAAATGCTCCAGATGATGCAATCTCTCTTGCGTTTCTTCAGACAACATCAGATCTGTTACATCTCGCGCAGTTTTTAAATATTTAATCTTCCATTCACTCTAGGAAGATTACATTGTTTTACATGTGATATATTATTTAAAACCTGGCGGAGTATACTCTCAGATGCATTCGCGAGAAGCCCTATGTCTTTAATGAGGCATCTCACGTTTACACACAGGGGAGGCTGTCTCGCGCCCTGCGACACTCTGTAATTACAAGCAAAACTGTATTATTAGGTATCACTATTATATCGTTGCTCAATGTGACACTGTGTCTGTTCCAGAGTCACAGCGTCCTGAAATAGCAGTGGATTATTCCGATGAGAATTATGCATCAAACTGGAATGCATTTTAATGCCTTGTGTACAAGCTTCCAGTCAGGCCTGCTTTGATTCGATGCCGATTATGTTGTTGCTGTTCTGCGCTATAGCTGTAAATGTTGCTGTGTCGTGGCACTGTGTTTTAAAAAGCCTTCAATGTGCCAGTCGATGTGCCGATCGGCTCAGACTATGTTAAAATAGATTGTGTTACAGGCAGCCGAAGTGACTCGGTTTCTTGTAACTTGGATGAAGTCAGTGTGACAAGAAAGAAAGAACGATCGGCTCCAGCTCTGTTGCTGGGTGCTAAATATACTCCATCTCTCTGAACACACACCGAGTGCACATGGGAACTGTTCCCTAACCTTAGAAAAGGAGAGCCGTAAGATGTAGAGAGACTCACAAAGAAAGCCTTTGTTCTGCTTTTGTGTTCGGAGATTTCTGGATTTACATTTTTGATGCTAGTTGAGCCCTTAAGCCCCGCCTTAAAATGCGTTCCGCCATTTAATGAGCAAACAGAATGCAGAATTAGAATCTAACCAGTAGAATGTAAAATTGGATGAAATTCACAAAAATCCCTGTAACTAATATAGACATTCACACAACTTTGCAATATTTATAAAAAACACGAGATTATAAAAATGTGTATTTAAATTATGTGATATACCATCATAAATAAATTAATAGTAATTTATAAATACAATAAATGTAAAAGTTTATGGTTTGGTAATATTTCATAATGTTTTTGAAAAGTCTCTTACACTCAATAAAGCTGCATTTAATTGGTTAAAAAATACAGTAAAAACAAATATTGTGAAATATTATTGCAGTTTTAAATAACTGCTTACTATTTGAATATATTTTAAAATGTCATTTATTCCTGTGATAAAAGCTGAATTTTCAGCATCATTTCTCCAGTCTTCAGAGTCACATTTCCTTCAGAAATCATTCTAATATGCTGATTTGCTGCTCAAGAAATATTTATTATTATTATTATTATTATCATTATTACTATCAATGTTCAAAACAGTTGCTGCTTCATATTTTTGCAGAAACCGTGATCAATTATTTTCAGCATCTGTGAATAGAAAGTTGAAAAGGACAGTATTTATTTGAAATAGGAATCTTTTGTAACATTAGAAATGTATTTACTGTCACTTTTGATTAATTTAATGCACCCAAGCTGAATAAAAGTATTAATTTATTTCAAAAAAACAAAATATATTTATTTATATAGGACTTAATAATATTAACATCAATTATATGGTGAAAGAACACTTTATTTCCCAGAATTCTCTAATTTACGATAATGTCAAAATGGAGCCAGTCAACATGAAGCAGTTTATTAGCTGGAAACTGTTACGGGGCGAACGAGACATGAGACTTGCGGATCCATTTGCAAAGCTTTAATAGGAGACAGAGACATGGTCATAAAACAGGCATGGGTCAGACAATGGCAAACAGGTATATTGAGGGCAAGACAGAAGAGTAATCCAAAACGGGCGTGGTCGATAAGCGGTTAACAATATCCAGAGGGCTTGACATGAGGGGTTACCCAATAACACGAGCTAGAGCCCAGGCGAGGTGCAAACACAGTCCGAAACAGCAGGCAAAGGGTTAACTCAAGATAAACAGGCAAAAATCACATTATATGGATTACTTAAGAAGTTCCCTGTTTTTATACAATTCTTGCATATTGTTGTTGTGTTGGGCTGCTTTTGCTCCAAGGTAAGTTAATTTTACTAACTTAACATATATATTGATTCAGGTTATTATGTTAAAACGTTCACAGCACCATAATGAACGTGTTAGGAACAGCCCTGTTATCTTACAGTAATACAGTAATGTTATCAGCCGTAATAACGGTCAAATGAGGCTTGCCTCTTTTCAGTTGACTTTGAGGAGCGTTTGATTCTAATTTGCAGCCTCCACAGTTTTTAATCTCGTTACTGAGTAATTTAACAGTTCCTGTAGAGAAAATGGCAGATAAAAATGCTTTGGCAATGTCACACTTCATTCCAGCCAATGTCTAATAGCTATCTTTTTTATTAAAACTGTATTAGTTTATTTTATAGAACATCTCCAGTTCATTCCTGTATGTTGTGTGTGTGTGTGTTTATTTATTTTATTTTATTTTTGGTGTATGATGATGTATGGTGCTTAAAACTGAACTGTTTTTTAACTTTTATATTTTTAAAACATTCAAATATGTTACATTACATTAGTTAAATAACAATTATTGTTATTAAAAGATTATTTAAAAAACATTTATTTAAAAAAAAAAAAACGTTCAAATATGTTACATTACTTCAGTTAAATTATTAAAAGATGTTTTAAAAAAATATTTCCAATGTGCTCTGAAGGCAAACTGTATGTTTTCTTGCACTGCAGTGG